ACCTCGGTTCAGGACAGCTAAGGTGTGGTCAAATTTTGGTCCGGCTTGGTCAAAACATGGCTCGTGAATAACAATATGGTTGTCCTGGAGAGGAACCTCATTGTCATCCTGGTTGTTGCTCTCTGGAAAACAGAGGAACTCTCCTTTCTTCTCACTTTCATCCTCTTCCATCTTGGCTCATTCTATCAAACTCCCTCATCATTTAACTACACCGAAAATCATCCTAAAACACATGTTTACAATTCCAAATGCATAAATGCATGTAATTCATGTCTTACAGCTCTAAAACCAACAAATGAGTGAAAACTATGCCAAAAGATGAAATAATGTATGAAATGGTGAAGATGTATAATGCCCCGACCGTCTATCCCGGTGAATCACCCATGTCCTTTCTTGGCCTGTGGGCCTTACCCCTATTCGACGGTCTACTGACTTATTTACTGTCCCTGCAATCAACACCCGACCTTTCTCCGTGCTTTGCCTTCATTTACACGGTTTCGAAAATCACCCATCCTTCCACTACTCCGGCCCAAGCACGCTTAACTTTGGAGTTACTTATGGAACTTTGACCGAAAATGTAAGTGTACTTTGTTGACATAGGTAACCCAATCAATTCTTTTAAGCCTCTCCACAAATCAAGATGTTACAATTCACCCCCACTCACTATGCGCAATGTCCTCATTGCGCATATGGATAGTCACCCCTTGACGGTGTGAGTCAAGGCCACTCCACACTCAGTCTGGGTTTTGGCTCTGATACCAAATTATAACGCCCCGACCGCCCATCCCGTGAGTCACCCACGCTCTCGGCCCGTGGGCCCACCCCTGTTCGACGGCGGTGCATTGTTTTTGAGAGACTTATTTACTGTCTCTGCAATCAACACCCGACATTTCCTTGTGCTTCGGCCTCACTTACACGGTTTCGGAAATCACTTCCCAAGAGGTCACACATCCTTCCACTACTCCAGCCTAAACACGCTTAACTCTGGAGTTACTTATAGATCTTTGACCGAAAATGTAAGTGATGTGTTCATACTTTGCATGTTTTTAGCACTCGATTGTATATGTTTTTGCATCCATAACCGTTCATTTGCATTCTTTTCACTCATCTTCACTCATATTCCGCATTTAGTGCATTTAGGACTAGCATTGTTGCATCTTGTACATTTGTGTCAGTTTTAGGTGTTTCCTGGAGTGATGGAGCTGGAGTGAGCTGGAGTGACAGAGTACACGTGGTCGCGTTGACGCTATCAAACATCAAGTGATCGAATTGGACGAGGTCGAGTGCTGTGATCGAGCTCGATGAGGTCACGCTGGACAAGTATGAACGCCGTAGCGCCGACGTCAAACCTGAGAGACGGAGTCAAAGTCAAGCGAGAGGGCCCACGTTCTGACGGGATCGATCCAGCCCATTAAGGGATCCGACCCAGTGCTTGTTTCGGCCAACTTTTCCCTTTTTATTTTATTTCCCGATTTTTCTAAAACACTAGGTTTTCGAGTATCAAAACCAGAGAGAGGTGCAGCCTCCACAAATATCATCTTTCATTTTTACATTCGAACAGTAGTTGTATTCAGATTTGTTTTTGAGTTCTAAGTACTTTTGCATTCTCGATTCTATCTCTTTGTCGCTTTGATTATGCACTCTATCTCTTTTGATTCTGAAATGTGTATGATGAGTTCTAGCGAGTAGTTTCGTTTAAGTTTCTGAGGATGGGATAGATCTGTAGCGAACCCTAGCGTGATCGAGTTGCTTAAGAATTGTTTGTCAATCGATCCCTTCTGGATTAGTGAGCTTCATCCCAGATTCTTCTGATCACCTGGATCTTAGACATTTCCACGCTCATGAGGCGTTCGATGAGATGTCTGAACCAGCTGATCCAGAGATTTACTGTTCTAGCCTAAGGGATTAGATGTCTAGAGAGTATTTCGACTCTATCGAATCCGAACTTAATGCTTGCTTGTGTTTTCTTCGCTAATGATGATTAGGTCTTGAGAATTCACTAGTTTGTTGATCTCTTTCGTGAAAGCGAATTGATCTTGTCTGTCGAGTTCGTTGTTGAGGGATCTAGCCCGTGTTTGAGGTTTGTTAAGCGACGAATCACGTTAGGAGTAGTTACAGTCGATTACCCCATCCTTAGGAGCTTGATCTTTCTCTGATATTCATCCGTCATTTTATTTTCAGTGCGATTGCATTCATATTGCACTCGATCTCTTTTGTTCACTGTCACCACCACCTGATAGATTTGGCTTGAATTGAGTAGTTCTGTCATATCTTGATTGCTAGCATCTCACCTGATTGGATTGATACCTAAAGTACTACTGCGATAGATACACTGCTTTAGGATAATTGATAGTAAACTCTTAGTATCAGTAAGTGCACTTTATTGACATAGGTAGCCAAATCAATTCTTTTAAGCCTCTTCAAAAGTCGGGATGTTACAAGATGAATATGAAAACAAATGACTGAATAACATAAAATATGAGTATATATTGTATATTAACTCCTCTATACTTGTATTGTACTTGTCCTCAAGAAAATTGACAAGGCGAAGAGGTTTGATGGTGAGAGCTTAAATCCAAAAGATGTCAATATATAAAAAAGATCAAATCAATGTCCAAGCTTATAGTTTTAAAATGCATTGTGAGTTTGTCGTACTTAATTTAAAAATCTTAGCCACGCTCATCACATTATGAAGTCGATTTTCTATCTTATAATGATGAAGAAAGACGAGAATATTTTTAGTTATGAAATATGTTTATCTTATAATGATTCGTGTGACACGGCATGGCAATTATTGTTTACTTTTATTCATTTTTGTTTGTTAGGGAAGACTATTATTGTGGCAGTTATTATTTGTTTATTTGGGGATTATGAAAGAATTAAAGAAACAATGATCAAACAGTATACCAACCACATTTGATAATATATCGAACATGAAAGAAACAATGATCATTTCACTTCATTGTGTACTGAAACAAGTAACCATTTCACTTCATTTTATGTTGGACAATATTAGCTTGTACTATTACACATTACACTATAAATGTAAGGCCGATTTCAATGTTGGTTTGGCGGAATCCGCATAATATTTGTAGTTCATGTGGTAATTTTAATCTGCTAACGAGTTTATGTAGTTTTTGGCATGACTTGACAGATCATATATGAATCGTACGTCAGCAAACTACGAGTATATAGTGGATTTGGCCGTTTTCCCTTGTCTTGACTAGTATTTTCTTAGTATGTGTTGGTTATATCAAGTGTGGAAAACGTAAGCTGAATCTACAAAAATTGCATTCTTATCCAGCCTCTCGTTTATTATAAGACGAGGGATAATTGCAGTTTGCCACATGCATATCAGAGAAAGAAACAATTTTACACACATGATTGATTATCAATATAAATTTAAATTCTCGTCACGTCGTTTGTTTTTCTATTTGATAGTGTTAATATGGCCAACACAGTAAATCGTATATGAAAAATCTTTTTATGTGATTATGTTATTCCATGTTTGATGTTTCTCATATGTTTAATTTTGGTTTTTGCTGATTAGAGATGGAGCTTACATTGATAGATTAGTACTGCGGTAAAAAAATCGACTTAGTTCAAACTAAAAACTGGTTGTTTAAGCTCTAGTTCAGGATGAAGCCTCTTCTGTATAGACCTTCATAAAATATAATTTCTCTTAGAAAATTAACAAGTTATGTAGAAAATCACCGTCTCGTAATACTTAAATAGAAATGGTAAAATTTATTAAAAACTCACTCTTGTTCATTTTGAATAAGAAATTATTTTATCTTCTACCTAATGCTCTCCCAAATCTTGTCATTGACTCAGCCTTTTCGTTTCTTTTTTCTTTATGGTACAAATGTATAAGAAACTATGACTACCAAACTTTTATTTTATTTTTTCTAGTGCTTAAATTGCATTTAGAAAGTTCGACGGATTAAGAAACATACAAAATTAATTATCACCTACGGCAGAAGAAATGGAACGGAGTTTGTGGCTTAGAGTATTGCATAGAAAGCACTTTCATAGCCACAATGGCATTAACTGTCTCATTGTAATGAAACGAGACCCTTTGTCACATACATTAAAGCCTCTATGCCCACTGTTAGATCTGAGATAGCACACTTAAGAGCGAGTATCAAAGATTGAGTTTTTGGGAACTGAGAACTTTCACTCGAAGAAATATCAAAGGATTACAAGGATGGTGCTCTCGCCAAATAGGCTTGGCGAGGTGAAGTATGCAATTATAAAGAGGGGGTCTCGTCGAACAGGCCTCGACGAGACGGAATACGAAAATAAAGAGAACAAAGGAGAAAAGAGTAGCAATTGCTCTAGGTGTTTGCAGAGGGTTTCTGGATGCTTGTGGATGGTCTTCAAGGAATAGGGGGTCTTCTATTTATATGGAGAGGAGGTTGGCTTCTTCAAGATATTCTTCCATATTTCTTTTGGAAATATTCTTCTTTGGCGTTGATCTCCTTCTATTTTTCTTGGATGTAGTCTTTTTCTCCAAGTACTTCCTTTTCTTTGAGGAGGTTAAGTGGAAGCGGGCCGGGCTTGCATAGTATTATTAATTGTGACGGGCTCAGGGAAATTGTGCTAATTTCTCCTCTAACAATAAGTCCCCCCCAGTTTGGCGAGATAAATGCAGTTTAATCTCGGCGAACTTCATGTATAAAAGAGGAGCTCAAGAGCAATAATAAATAATATGTGATGCCGCGTGATGCCGATGCTAGCTGACGTGATGCTGCGTTGCGTTATTGACTTTAGATCCGTGCCTGCCTCGTTAAAACCTTGATATGGAAAAACCACTATGGGATAAAAACCATAAAAAGGGAAAAGAGTACGTGACGTAATCTTGTCCGCAATGTGCTTTTGATAATTCTCTCGGACTTGACGAGTCATGCTCGTCAAGGAGAATAAGTTGCCGTGATGAATTTTCTCGGATTTGACTTCAGCTGGTCAAAGAGATTTCTTTGTCATCGTTCGTCGCGGCATTAGAGCCTGTTGCCGTGATACTTCTTATCGTCGTCTGGAAAAGGGTTCGTCCAGTAGGGATAACTCGTCCGCCTTTGGTGATGTGGAGCTTGCGTCGCGGCGATTCGAACAGCGAAATCTTGCATGGGCGCGGTAGTCGCGGCGTTGGTGACTGGAGCTTCTGCGCCTGGGACCAATAGAGGGTTGACGCGACCATTGTTCGTGTTGACGCGACCGTTTTCGACTTCAACGGGATGAATGATAGGGTTTTCATCTTCACCGAGTTTAGTTTGACTTTGCAGTCCGCCTGTTCTGGTGCCGCAAAGGTACGTCGAGATGGATAATTGTTGTACTCTATGATAAGCTTGCCGAGATGGAGGGGACAAAACAAGTTTGGCCAACTTTCGCCGGGATGCTGATGGAAACCTCGTTAGCTGGAGGAGTTCTTCGAGAGAGGAGAATGCGAATGCCGAGATGGGGTCTGGTCCGGATGCTTCCAAGATCAAAGCTGCTTTAGCCCCCTTCTTCCTCACTCGTTTTGCTGAACTTTTGTCATCGGGGCGAATGTTATCGATGAGATAACATTGCCTGAGAGGGTTTTAATCCATATGCTGTTTGGATTGAAAATCGCAATTTAGATATAGTTGATAATTTCACAGCGCAATGAAAGAATCCAGCTTTTTACTATATCTTTTAATGAGGGGCGATATGCCGTCAACCAAGCGCAATGAATCAAGTATCTAATCGTCATTAGACTAATGAGTCAACATGCTGGGACGACTCGTCAACCTCAAGTGTGTCATGCCGAGATGCTACTCTTTGACAGTGCTAGTGCGTCGTGACGAGACGACGATGCTACGAAGCTCGTCAAGACTCTCATTCGAGACACCGACCTGTGCGTATTAGGTCTGAATGCAGCGGCTTGGTAGGCCTCATAATTCGGCGACGAGGTCTAGAAACTCGATTTATGCCTACGACTTTTAAGTCCGATACGCGTGACGAGACAGCGGTTTTTTCTCGCCCGTATGGCTTAGAACCGTGCGAGGTGCGTGCTCTCGTCTTTTGTGGGTGATCAGTCCACGGGTTGCTGTGCTTAAGTGCGTCCGAACGTTGGGCCAGAACGTCGGAGGAGTTGCGTTTTTTCGGAATTTTTGCTTTGCATGCTGTGCTTGCGTTGCTAACGTCGTCGGTGAGAGTTTCAGTTACCAGCTGAAAGTGAAGTTGTTGCTTCAGGGTCTTTGCCGAGACGGGAACCCTTCCGAAAAGGTTCTGTAAGAAGTGCTTGCATTGGGGTTAACAAAGATAAAAAGGGCTTTTTATTTTTATTAATCCATAGCTGTGCCTTTAGTGAAAAAGGCTGCCTACGTACCCGTGCCGAGATCAAGCCAATCGTAGTTCGTTTCAGATGCTTCTGATTTCATTTCGGCGATGCAAAACGAATGACTCGAGATGCGTTTGTTGATCATAGCAGATCACTCGACCAAGTCATTCTTAGCCGTATTAATGCGAAAGCTAGCTGTTTCGACTTATTCCTACAGAACATGTGAGGCCATGCGAGGTTTTATCTCGGCAATGCAGAGATTGCTTATCTCGTCAAAGTAGGATTCATTGATTATTCGTCAACGAAGAGGTTCGTCGATGATTTGTTTATCGATGAAGAGGCGTGTTGCTTACTCATTTGTTGACGAAATAAATCATTGCATTGCGGTTGAATCAAGTGTCGCCGTCGTTCTTCGACGAGATTATTAAATATTTAAAAAATAAAGTTATTATGCTGACCTTAAGTTGCTGATGAGTTTGAAGGTGACGACGTGCTGGAGATGACGACACGCTGGAGGTGATGTTTCTGCCAACGACAAGCTGAAGTTGTCAGTATTGCTATTTGTGATGTTTTCCGTTTCGACAAGGGCTTATGCAATCTTGTGCGGCGAGTTGGTAACGTCATGTAATTTGGAGGTTATTGCGTGATGGTCGTGGCACAGCTTTGCCAGTTCTGGGTTGATTCCATTGTCGTTATGCCTTTTACGAACGAGTCTGTCGACGAAACGATTTGCTGATCTTTTATTGACGACATAATTTCTTCGGGGGGTTTTGAGAATGAGATTGATGCTTCTCCATCATGGCAATTTCGAACAAAAAATTATTGTTCGGGTTCTTGCTGAGACGAAACGTCTTTAAGGAGTCACAGAAAGGTGCGTTCGCTTGAGCGAACTAATAAAAACAAATAGCTTTTTATTTTTATTAGTTTTACAGCTGCGTCTTGGTGAAAAGACTGCCTACGTACCCATGCCGGGATCAAGCCATTCGTAGTTCGTTTTGACGAGACGCGAAGCTACGCGTCTTGACAACAACCTTTTTTTTTTTTTTTGCACGACGCGAGGCTACGCGTCTAGACCAGAAATTTCGCAAGTTCATGGAGATCCATGAACGTGGGAGAAGTCTTCCACCGGAAAGTTTTCCTTCTCGTACTGCTCCAAGAGGTTACTGATGAGTTCCGTGCAGGTGTCGATAGAATGACCAGTTCTTCTGTGGAAGCGACAGTACAAAGTATGATCGCACTCGTCATTCGTGGTGTCGTCGAGCGGAGACGAGATGGGGTTGACGGAGCGGATTGTGACGGCATCTCGGTCACGTCCCAGTGATTCTCGGGGCTGTCATCTTCTGCAAAAGGGAATGATCTCTTCACGCCGTGCTTCTCGGCATAGAAGTCTTTATCCTCCTCAAGGAAAATGTAGTTTTGGGATCGGTGGAGCGCGTCTTCCAAGTTCGTCGATGGTCTCAGCGATAGGTCTTCCTTGAACTTTGAGTTGTACCAGAGACCGTTACGAAGTGCTTCGAGCGGGACACTATCTGGCATGTCGTCGAGATCAAGTGTTGCTTTCTTGAATCTTTCGATGAATTCTCTTAAGGGCTCGCCTTTTGATTGCGTCACAGTGAACATGTTTCGGGTGATCCTAGTCATGTTCATGGAGTAGTGCTTCAGAAAAGCATTGGTCAGATCGTCAAAGTTATCAATCGTCTCGGCAGGGAGGTTTGAAAACCAGACAAGGGCTTCGTTCGTCATATGCTCGACGAAGACTTGACAATAGTTTGCATCCCTCTCGTCGAGAGAGTCATATTTCTCTCTCGTCATGGCGAGGTTGAATGCCGTCAACCACTTCTTCGGGTCTTGGTCGCCAGCAAAGGGTTCGATCTTAAGTCGTACTCTGTCGTGGAGTTGGACTCGGCGAATCCTTGCTGTGAGTGGGCTCCTCCGGGTGTCGGCAAGTGCTTTTGTCAACTCCGGGGCTGAGCTGGTGACGCGATGGATTTTAGAGTCGAACTCGTCGAGGCGACGGTGCATTCGTTCGAGCTCTAAGACTGCTCGTCTGCTAACTCGTGCGGGACGATTAGTGGTTCCGTTGGTCGTCGCGGCAGCGGGGTCCAACGGTTCCTCGTCGTCTTCTTGGGTCAGGGTATCGACCTGCTCCTGGGTCTTCTTTTGCTGGGCTCGCATCGCTTTGAAGCCCTCGGTTAGTGGCTTCAGGAGCGTCTGAATCGTCTTGAGGATATCGTCATGGCGAGATGGTCCGACGCCGGAGGGCGACAGCGTTTCCCCTCGAGTCGGCAAGGTCGACCGACGAGATGGGCTCTTCTCGTCTCGGCGTAGGGCCTTCTTGACCGTTGCTGGGTCTCTCTCATCGTCAGGATCCTTCCGGTTTCGGCGAGGGCTCCTGTCGGGAGTGTTTTCTTCTAAGTTTGACATCAGCTGTCTTCTTATAATCCTAGAACTTCTTCGAGTTTGAAAGTGAAAAGCGTTCCCAGCCCCACGGTGGGCGCCAATTGTTAGATCTGAGATAGCACACTTAAGAGCGAGTATCAAAGATTGAGTTTTTGGGAACTGAGAACTTTCACTCGAAGAAATATCAAAGGATTACAAGGATGGTGCTCTCGCCAAATAGGCTTGGCGAGGTGAAGTATGCAATTATAAAGAGGGGGTCTCGTCGAACAGGCCTCGACAAGACGGAATACGAAAATAAAGAGAACAAAGGAGAAAAGAGTAGCAATTGCTCTAGGTGTTTGCAGAGGATTTCTGGATCTTGTGGATCTTCAAGGAATAGGGGGTCTTCTATTTATATGGAGAGGAGGTTGGCTTCTTCAAGATATTCTTCCTTTTCTCCAATTGGAAAACTTCCTCTTGTCCTTGATTTATCTCCTTCTATTTTTCTTATTAGTCTTTTTCTCAAGACTTGCCATTTATTTGAGGAGGTTAATGATGAAACGGGCCGGCTTGCATAGTATTATTAATTGTGACGGGCTCAGGGAAATTGTGTTAATTTCTCCTCTAACACCCACATGTTATATTCACATTGTAGTTATAAGGACTGCCTCCGTATCCACAACACGCCATTAACGGTCTCTCAAAACCTGCATTGCATCTAATTAATGCTTAACTTAAGATATAACCTAATAACTGTCACTGATTGGTTGAGGAAGAAATTATGTTAATTTTACCGTATTCGTTGGAGTTTGCAATGAGGCTGTATTTAATATCGTATATGTCGATAGAGATTATGGTGGCGTCTCTTAGTTCGGTCCTTAGTTCCTCACACATTTGATCCAATCTTTGGCTAAACATTTTTGCAGCCAAGTTGTAACTAGCTAAGCAACCATGCTGGTCAAGATCTTTGCTTTGAGCCATTGAAAGTTTCTGAGGCAGACAACCTAATTGACCAGTATTGTGAATCCAGAATCTCCTTCCTCCATTATCATACAATTTCTACAAATAGCAAAAACCATTTTTTTAAAAAGTTACATGGTGTGTACCAAAGTTCTAAAAGGCCAAATATAATCTAACCTTTATGCCGGTTTTGATCTGCGAGATAAATTGTGGAATCAGCATGAACGTTTGAGAATACGAGTTGCCTTTAGAGAAGGAATGTGCAATGTCATTTCTGAATCTGTCTTGGCTTATGAACAAACCCTTTGATACATCTACAAGAAACACAATTGTTGACTCTGTCAAGAATCAAGATCATCAAAACTGAGAAGAGACACAACAATGGTTTGAGTGATCGGGATTTGAAATGGAGGAATTGCATAATCTGAATATTTAGTGAAAAAGAAGCTTTTTTGGGAAGCGTAGAGGATCCAACAATTGCGAAGTTAGTACCGTTTTGGAACCTTGATCTACTTAATGATTCTATGTATGGCCTCAAGTCTCAAGAGACTCGTTTTCAGACTCTGGCCTGCAAATTCCATCGTATATATACGTAAATACATTTACCAATTTTAAACAAGCTCTAAATATCTACCAAAACTCAATACACAAACACAAAATATGAAGGCAAGTATCAGTAATGTACAAAATACATTACGTGGCCTCTACGTTTTTGAATATACATAACATGCAAAGGGTCAAAGTAAGGCACTGACCTCTTAACATGTTTTACGTGGGACTCACTTTCTCCTACTAGATTTTCTGCGATCAGACGACATTAATGTATTAACCGCGATCTAAACCGTACAATCGAGATGCTAACGGACGGTGGATCTAACATAGTTACTTTTTGCCCTTATGTAATTATATGGAATAGGAAAATATTATGATAAATCTTAGGTTAGGAAAATTAACATTATCATAAATAAATATATTCCATATAATTACTTTAGTAAATTAAGCTTGTTTCATCCTATATACCTATATATGTATCTTTAACATTATTTTTATGAGAGTCTAATACAATCCTAGTGGGGCTTATTGAACTAATGATTTGGGAGGATTTCAATTTTTTTCCAAATCCTCTCTTATTGGATCTAGTATTTATAAAAATCATTCAAAATCCAAGGTTATTGGACTAATGATTTATACAAATTCTTTAAAATCCCACCTTATTGGAAAATCAGGATTTCATCAACAAAATCTATCAAAAACTGTTATGATTGATTTGTGAGAGATTTTGTAGTGAAAAACAAATATAAGGTAGAATTTGAATAAATTAATGATTAAATTATTTTTCCCTATTTTCTTATAAGATTGACAAAATATACCGGACAACAATTAAAATTGAATTTTTTGTTTTGTTTTTCGAATACCATGAAATCCCACCTAATCACTTTGCAAATTTCTAAACAGAAAATTTGCAAATCAACTCAGATCTTAAAAATCCCTTAAAAGTTCCTTAAATCCTTTGTATTTGAAATCCTTCCAAATGATTAGTTCAATAAGCCTTACTAAACAATTTGTGTTCTTTACTCTCATCTATCTATTCTATCAAATCAAATCAAAACAAACGAACGATGGAGCAACAGGAAGAAGAAACTCAGAGCAAAAGAAGGAGACAATCTTCATCGTCCTTTTCGCACGACCTAACCTCGGAGATACAATTAAGGCTACCTGCAAAATCCGTTGGGAGATTTCGTTGCGTTTCGAAGCTCTGGTCATCAATCACCACCGATCGTTATTTCATCAACTCGTTCGAAGCTCGGCCCCAAAGAAAAAGTCTTCTACTCTGCTTCAGAAGAGGCGACAATTTGTTTGCTTTCTCCATTCCTCAAGATCATTCAAACGAGCCTTGTTCGATTTACTCCCAGCCTGTTGATAGTTACCATACGACATATCCCAAAAGCTGTTCCTTCTCCCCCACGAAATCTGTCCACGGTTTGATCTGCTTTCAAAGAAAAACAAAAACCCTAATTTGGAACCCTACAATGAGACACCACTTAACCCTAACCAAACCCGAAAAGAGTTGGAAAACTATCACAGTCTTTTTGGGATACGATCCAGTCGAAAGTAAACACAAACTATTGTGCCTACCTAGGGCTGCAGTTTCTGATGAGTGTAGGGTTTTAACATTGGGATCAGCTCAAGAATCATGGAGAATTGTCAAAACCAACTAGAGTCATCATCCTCTCCATAGCATTAGCGGTAGTGAATGCATCAACGGAGTTCTCTATTATCAAGCATATCTTTTTGGTCAGAAGGAGGATGTTATAATGAGTTTTGATGTCAGGTCTGAAAAGTTCCATATGATCAAACTACAATTGGAGAAAATTACTGATGGTGGTACACTCGCAACATATAAGGGAAGGTTAGCTTTTGTTCAACGTAACAGTCGATATGTTTGTATAACACTGTGGACCTTGAAGGATGCAGAGAAACATGGTTGGTCGCATATAGACTTACCTTTTTCACCACCTATTGAATACTATGACCAAAGTTTCAAAGCAACATTCAGATTTACTGGTATCACGGATGCTGGTAAGTTCGTTTATGTACAATCCGGATTTCATCAATCGCTTTTTGTTGTGTATAAAGATCCGGAGAAAAAGAGCTTCCACAGAGTTGAGATTATAGGAATCGCAGACGACGAGTTTAGGCGCAAGTATGAATTTGGATGCATACGTGTGACTAATATACATACTGTGTTGAATCACACAGAGAGTCTCATGTCTTTGTAATGCTTGAAACAGTTTTTTTTTCTATTATTTTATTTTTCGTTACAGTGACACTTTTAATTTATGCAATTTCATGATTCATTTTTTTTTAATTATAATGTCTTCACATTTAACTTGTAATCTTGGGGGCTTATCATTTCTTTATTTGATTTTACACCATCCTTTTACAGTTTTACTTAACAAAGTATCACAAAATTAAATTTCACCATCCTTTTACAGTTTTCCTTTTTATTCTTATTAGCAAATTTCCTTTTATGCATAGATTTTAACAATTGTAATTTTTATATAGATGTCATTATTATTAAAAATTTTAATTGAAATTAATTTTCTAACTAATTTCCTTTTTATTCTTATTAGCAAATTTCCTTTTATGCATATTTGCATTTTTTTAATATTCATATATTTTCTTTCATTCCAATAAGTATTATTACTTTAACATATAACTTTAGTAAATTTCCTATTTTACAAATATTTTATTAATTAGATTTTAACAATTGTAATTTTTATATAAATTATCTAATAAGAAATGACATTAGAAGTTGTCTTTTATATTAGTGGAAAATTGATTAAGAAGCCCATACTATTATTATGGCACATTCAACTATTCATTTTAATGAAATCTCATATTGGAACATCTCTATTAAGCAGTTTTTCATGGCAAATACACTAAGTAGTTAGACAAATATATTTTTTTTTTTAGCAACAAGGTGTTGTGGTGTAGCAAAAGGAAAATAAGAAATTTAATTTGATCGGCATCTTAAAAGAATTTCATTTTATTTGTTATTATGATATTTCTTAATACTCAATTCTATTTTTATTCATATTAAAGTGTTTAGAAAATATAAAAAAAAAAATCTAATGACATAAAAAGGAAAATTACTTCCTATGTTTTTTTTTTAAATTTTGTCTAATAAATGTTTGGAAATTATTAGAAGATTTGGGGTTAAGAGGATTTGGTATAAATCGTGACCTTCAAAGACATGCAATCTCTAAAATTCTGAAATGAAATATTTGGTAGTGTGCATATAATTAAGCAAATGAGAGATAGGGTGATCCGGGTCGGTCTGAGGTTCTTGGTGGCTTTCAATTTTAAAATATATTATTTTTTCAGTAAATTTATTTAATAGTTAAATAAAAAATAATGATAGATTGAAGAGTCTATTGCTGGAAAGTTTCAAACCATCCACATTAAAAAGAATGAAGAGCAACACTGCATATAAGCTAAATGAACATTTAGTAACATATGGCATTAAATTTTTATATATCTTTTGGTGGCGTAAATCCTATAATTTACCAGCTTTATGTAGGGCCGAGAGTAATAATATTGATGTCGGATTTATAAATTCGACGAAATTGATTTTCAAGTGAAATTTAATTTAAGACATTTGAGAAACACTGGTAAAAAAGTCGCATTTATGAATATTCATATTTGCATTTCAAATGTGAAGGTAATGAGTTTCTAATTTAACAGTGATAATTATCTCAAAATGTGACAAAACTAACTCTTGAACCAAAAATTAGAGATTTAGTTATATATAACTAGAAAAGAAAATTATTTAAAATATTAAAAATGAAAATAAAAATTATAAAGGATTTTGTATCAACGGATTATTTTTTAAAATGGAAAAATTAGAGAATTCATAAAAAAATTAAAGAAAACATAAAAACGGAAATTAGATTTTAATAATTGTAATTTTTATATAGATTATCTAATAAGAAATGACATTAGAAGTTGTCTTCTGTATTAGTGAAAATTGATTAAGAAGCCCATATTATCTATTATGACACATTCAACCATTCATTTTAATGAAATCTCATATTTGAACATCTCTATTAAGCAGTTTTTCATCTTAGACAATTTTTTTTTTTTTTTAGCAACAAGGTGTTGCGGTGTAGCAAAAGAAAATAAGAAATTTAATTTGATCGGTACACATAAGCATCTTAAAAGAATTTCATTTTATTTGTTATTATGATATTTCCTTAATACTCAATTCTATTTTTATTCATATTAAAGTGTTTAGAAAATAGAAAAAATAAGATTTCTAATGACATAAAAAGGAAAAATTACTTCCTACGTTTTTTTTTTAATTTTGTCTAATGGATGTTTGGAAATTATTAGAAGATTTGGGGTTAAGAGGATTTGGTATAAATGTGACCTTCAAAGACATGCAATCTCTAAAATTCTGAAACGAAATGTTTGGTAGTGTGCATATAATTAAAGCAAATGAGAGATAGGGTGATCCGGGTCGGCCTGAGGTTCTTGGTGGCCTCAAATTTTAAAATATATTATTTTTTCAGTAAATTTATTTAATAGTTAAATAAAAAATAATGATAGATTGAAGAGTCTATTGCTGAGAAGTTTCAAACCATCCACATTGAGAAGAATGAAGAGCAACACTGCATATAAGCTAAATGAACATTTAGTAACATGTGGCATTAAAGTTTTACAAATATCTTTTGGTGGCGTAAATCCTATGCTTTACCAGCTTTATATAGGATTTATAAATTCGACGAAATTGATTTTCAAGTGAAATTTAATTTAAGACTTTTGAGAAACACTGGCAAAAGAGTCGCATTTATGAATATCCATATTTGCATTTCAAATGTGAATGTAATGAGTTTCTAATTTCGCAGTGATAATTATTCCAAAATGTGACAAAATTAACTATTGAACCAAAAATTAGAGATTTAGTTATATATAATTAGAAAAGAAAATTATTTAAAATATTAAAATAAAAATAAAAATTGTAAAGGATTTTTTATCAACGATTTTTTTTAAAATGAAAAAATTAGAAAATTCATAAAAAAAAATTAAAGAAAACATAAAAACGGAACCCGCGCGTAGCGCAGGTAAAATACCTAGTAAAAATAAAAGGTGGAGAACTAATAGTAAGAAGATCGATGCTCTCTACAACGATAATACTCAGATCAAAAGAACAGTGGAGCAACAAGAAGAAACTCAGCTAAAAAAAAGAATAAAATTTTCATCAATCTCAAAATCAACATCATCCTTTCCTCTCGACCTAATCTTGGAGATACTCTTAAGGCTACCTGCAAAATCTGTCGTGAGATTTCGTTGTGTTTAGAAGCTCTGGTCATCAGTCACCACAGATCGTTATTTCATCAACTCGTTCGAAACTCGACCCCAAAGCAAAAGTCCAAGTCTTCTATTATGCTTCAGAAGAGCCAACAAGTTGTTTGTTTTCTCTATTCCTCAAGATCATTCAAACGAGCCTTATTCAGTTTCTTCCCAGCCTGTTGATAGACTTCATATGACGACATACCACAAATACGGTGACTTCTCCCCCAAGAAATCTGTCCAAGGCTTGATATGCTTTCCAAGAGCAAAAAAACCCTAATTTGGAACCCTACAATGAGACACCTCTCAACCATAACCAAACCCGAAAAGAGTTGGAAGCTTATTACAGTCTTTTTGGGATACGATCCAATCGGACGTAAACACAAACTCGTGTCCATTCCTCTTAATAAAACCAGCGACGAGTGTCGGGTTTTAACATTGGGATCAGATCAAGAATCATGGAGAATGGTCAAAACCAACTATAATCATCGTCCTCTCTGCAACAGAATCAGTTATGAATGCATCAACGGAGTTTTGTATTACCGCGCATGTTTTGATCGGAAAGAGGATGTTATAATGAGTTTTGATGTCAGATCTGAAAAGTTCCGTATGATAAAACTAAAATGGGATGATTTTGATGGTACTGGTATACTCATAACATATAAGGGAAGGTTAGCTTGTTCTATGGTTGACTATGCAGATCATGGTCTAAGTCTAACATTGTGGACTTTGAAGGATGCAGAGAGACATGATTGGTCGCCTATAAATTTCCCTGAAGCACCTTACCATCCCAATGATCAGAGGTTGAAAACAGCTTTCAGTTTTAGTGGCATCACGGATGCTGGTGAGTTTGTTTATGTACCATCTGATTTTCGTCAATCATTTTATGTTATGTATTATGATCCCAAGAGAAAGACCCGCCACATAGTTGAGTTTAAGGGAATCGCAAACGACGAGTTTAGGCTCAAGCATAGACTTGGAAATAGACGCGTGTTTAATATCTTTACTGTTCCGAATCACATAGAGAGTCTCACATCTCTTTGTAACACTTGAAATAAGTTGTGTTTTTTTTTTCGATTGAAGAAAACTTAGTTTATGCACTCTTGTTTCAGATTGAGTAAGACTTGTTGTTCTTTCAAAGTTGAATTTTTTCTGGCGTTGAACTTGTTGTTTCAGATTTAGTTTGAATGTGCGGCTATTAAAGAAAGCAAATTGCCTTTTTTTTTACTCTTCTTCACTTGTAGTCTTGTACCAATACAATTGCAGGTTTAAGCTTTTTAAGGAGAACAAAGAGATTATATGATGGTCTAATGAACAATTGGCTTCTTTTATACCTCGGAGAAGATGAAGTCCGAGATGTTATCAATTGCAGGCTCTAGTACAATGAAGTCTAAGATGTGTTATACTTAACTAACAAGTTTATATGTCCCGCATACATGATATCATCAGGAAGGAGTATGTAGATGATCCAACTGAACCATTTGAATGAAGATGAAAAAAAGACAAACATCATCCAAATAGTTCATCAAAATGATTTTAATAAAAAATAACCAAAATACCCATATTTTTTTTTATCTAATCAAGTTTTTTTACCTAAACTAATTTTTTAACCATATCAATTTTGGATCTAAAATATTATAAAACCATAAAGCATGATTTCACAAATTTGACGAAAGTATAATTTTGCGGTTTTAACGAAAAAACAATATTTCATAGTTTTAGCTGGAAAATACGATTTCATGCGGTTTCAGCTGAAAAGTGTTAAATCGGTTTAAGCGTAACAACACGATTATGCGGAATCGGCAAAAACCGTGATTTCTCGGTTTAAGTGGAAAAATGCTGTTTCGGCAGAAATATAAAATTTGTGGTTTAAGCGGAAACCCACCATTTTTCGATTTCGGCAGAAAATGGGATTTTTCGGTTTCAATAGAAAAAGCGATTTCGCAGTTTTAGCGAAAAATATGATTTTCCGGTGTAAGAGAAAAATATAATTTTACGGTTTATGCGGAAAAATATTATTTTGTGATTTACGCGTACAAATATAATTTTGCGGATAATTTGATTTCTTAATTTTGATTAAAAAAAAATATGAATATTTTTCATGTGTAAATATATTTAGGGGTTTATGTATTATTTGTATATTTGGGATGAATCATCTTCAGCCTGATGCTCCAATTCAGATCAGCAAGATAATCCATCTGAATATCAAAGATTTTGCCTATAGTTTCAAAACTCATTTGGATGAATCATTTGGATGTGATCATTTTTATTGTTAAACGAACATCATGAAGCTATCGAGTTGGATGATCAAACGAACATGCGAAGAAACTTTTTTTTTGTTAAATATCTACTACTCGGTTGGTTAACACTCTATCTTTATATTATTAATTGAGAAGTACATTCTAATGTTTGGATACAAGAATAAGAGAAACATCTATTTGGATAGAAGAATAAATGGAAAAAAAGTTGTTTGGATATAAGAATAAGAGAAAAATCTATTTGGATAGAAGAATAAATGGAAAAAATTGTTTGGATACAAGAATAATAACTTAAAACAAACCGATGGTTTAGAAAACTTCCGTTTTCCAGCTCTTAAAAAATCTGCAAAAAAGAAAAATTAACATAATCTATCAATAATACCAAATCAATAGAATATGATCGAATGATATTTGCAAAATTTCCAATAGTGAAATAGAAATACGTCTAATTTAAATCAAATTGTGGATTTCTGTTCGGGTTTTTTTGAAAATTTATGTTCGGTTTGGGTTCGAGTTTTTTTGGGTTTAGTTCAGGGTTTTCCGGATTTTTTGGATTTCGGGTTTAGACATATTAAAAAATTTGGGTATTTTAAAATTTATTAGGGTTTTTAGGTCGGGTTCGGGTTTCGGGTGAAAAAGTTTCGAGTTTTTTTTTCGGTTCAGGGTTTTCGGGATTTTTTGGATTTCGGGTTTTCGGGTTTAGACATATTAAAAAGGTTTGGAGTTTTTAAAATTTTGATTAGGGTTTTTGGGTCGGGCTCGGGTTTAGATTTAGATTTTCTTCACAAAACCGCAACGTCACACGCGCGTTTGCGCGGGTCCTCTACTAGTTATCTTTAATCGATAAGACTTTATTTGTTAAATATCTACTACTCGGTTGGTTGATACTCTATAATATTTTTAGTATAATAATTATCTCATTTACAGATACTTTATTATATAAAAACCTGATATATGTACATTTATAATAAGGATATTGTTCAATATTTTTTTTTTCTTCTTACTTTTTTTTTAATAGATAAACATTAATATTTGTTGTTAGGTCTATAGGATTTTTAATCATTTATTTGAAGTTTTACTTGATATTTGATTAACCAAATAACCCTAAAATTTAATTTAATTTAAAAATAAACACCCAAAGGCCAAAGCTGAATTATTAGGTACACAGGTAATACATTTTAATTCTTGTTTAACAAAAATGCTATGAAAATAAAATGAGAATTAATACAGATAAAATTAGTTTCTTTTATATGTATATAAAAGAATAAAGTTAGTGAAAAATAATAATTTAACAATTTTTAGACAAAACAAAAAGATTTAACATGTTCAGAAACTTTACTTTAAAAATAAATAAAAAACTTGTACTATCATTTTTTTGGTAATATCCTATCAAAGTATGATTACACATGAAACATATTCATATTTGGTAATACCTTATCACTCTTACACATGAATATTTTTTTGGTATACCTTATCACTCTCTTGTCGATAGTATCATATACTTAACCATTACAAGACCCGACACTTCTTTTATAGTTGATTTTGTAAGTCGGTTTATGCTAACACTAAAGAAATCACATCTAGAAGCGGCAAAAAGGATCTTGAAGTATGTGAAAACTACTCTTGGCATGGGTTTGTTGTATAAGTACAATGCCAAGGTTTCTCTCCATGGTTTCACACGGATGCACTTTTTATGGTGGAGATTTAGATTATCAGAAATCAACCTTGCACTATGTGTTTTTATGCGGAGACACAAGCGTTTTATGGTGCAGCAAGAAGCAAGTAGCGATTTTGCTATCTACCACAATCAGAATATTAAGTTTCAACACTCGCAGTCCAAAATGTATACAACTCCGAAGACTCCTTGAAGATTTGTTCGAGCCAATAAACCAGTTACTATTTATGGAGATAACTAAAGTGCTATCAAGTTGGCTAATAATCCGGTGTTCTATGCCAAAAAACAAAGTATATTAAGTTGAAACATATCACTTGAGGACGTTTTCAAAGAAAAAAAAAAACATCACTAAAAAATGCTTGATGGGACAATTGGAAATTATGTGAAATGATCCTTCGAGGTCAAATTTGGTTGTTGGTAGAGACTTTGTATATAAGCACGTATACCATGTGGTTGTTCAGATTGCATATCATTATTGTCATTAGCTTCTGGCTTTATTAGATAAATTTTTTGTCATTGCGTTAGGTGTCAGAATATTCTAAAATTTTAGTTTTAGGAATCAATACACGCCAATTAGTGGTTAGTAAACTTATACTTATTATAAAGTCATTTTGTCGGGATGCTCCTAACGACTACTCCGCAAAACCATCCAAGATGAAGATACCATAGAAGATAAGGCTACACCAGAAAATTAAATAAAAAGACAAAATGAAAAATATGAAATTAAAAACTATGTTTAAGTATATCTTTATGATCGTATTAATTAAATTATTTACAATATTTAGACATTGCTCATTACATGCCTAAATATTTAACTGTATCATCTCTAACTTAATTTTTTTTCTATTAATATTTTCATTGTTAAGTTTTTTTAAATGTATCAGATAGTGTAAAAATTATTCTACATAAAATTATATTAAAAAGGATTACAAAATTAAATTATTTATAAAAGAGATAAAGTCGTTAAATGTTTCCAACTGAGAATAATTGAGATAAAAACAAGCTAAACAAAAACAAATATTGCAAAATCCTAGCAACTTAAACTGTTTTAACTAATAATATAACAAACAGAAGAAAAATAACCAAGATAAGCACAAAAAATAAAAAGAACCATAAAAAGATGAAGACGAAGATATCAAATAACAAAGATAAAAGATAAACTTTGATGATGAAACAGACCGAATAACAAAATAAGAAACAGCAAGGACAAATAAACTGAAGTGAAAGATAAGGAAGAGTAAAGGTGAAGAAGAAATAAAAAAAAAAAAACCGAATAAAGGAAAATAGATCGAAGCAAAATAAACAAAAAATGAAACAAAATAAGAATGATAAGAACATCGGTTCACTACAATCATCATGACTACCATGCTACTAACGACAAAAGATTATGAATAGAAATTTTTAAATCAAATTATTAATACAAATCCATGTGTAGCATAGATAAAAGACCTAGTATATATAAGAAATTGAACAAGTTAATAAAAATATTCTAAAAATAAATTCTCTTATTCTCTCTTAAAGTTTTTTAAGTATTTTCCAACTGTTCTCTCTATATAATTGTTCTTCATATTTAGAAGGTTATTTGTTTTTTCTTCCGGGGTTTTTGCCTTTTTGGGTATTACGGTTTCGAGTAAATTGATGGGAAACATAGTGGAGTAAAAGTGAGTAAATTTTGTTTCTAGCGATAATGTTCTCACCACTTAAAAGTGGAGTAAAGTTTTACTCTATAAAAACAGTGCTTTCTCTCTATGTTTGGTGGGTCCAAACAAAAAACATTTTCCGCCCATTTACTCTAAAATACATTCCATTCATAGCCTTTTTTTTGCATGTTCTCTCAAAATCTTATCACGACTTACGATAAGTATGTATCTCATAAACTAAAAAAGATTCTCGTCTTTCTTTATTATTTAAAGATAGGTTTCTCATATAAAAAATAAAATCTTAATTAAATTGCAACCATTTAAAACTTTATATATATATCGTTATCACGAGTTACGATAAGTATATACCTCATAAACTTTTAGACCAATATCTTGAGATTTCCGTCTTGAGAAAAGAAAACCAAACCATGGAAGAGTCAGCCATCGTTTTATCGACAAGTATAATTCGTCCAAGAAATGTTAACCTATCAGGTCGTGTAAACAAGATCCATCTTACTCCATGGGACCTCCTCGTCCTTCGTATTGGTTATGTTCAAAGAGGTCTTCTCCTTCCTAAACCAAATCCAAAGATTGATCTAATCTCACGTTTAAAAAATTCTCTTTCTATTGCTCTCGACCATTTCTATCCTTTTGCTGGTCAACTAGTCAAGGTAAAGAACGACGACAATACGGCCTCGTTCCATATCAACTGCGAAGGTGGTGGTCATGGGGTCAAATTTGTTCATGCCACGGCTGAAAAGATCTCGATCGGTGATGTCCTTCGATACTCCGGTTCAGTGGAAGACGTGTTCTTCAGATCCTTCTTTCCTGCGTACGGGTACAAGAACTACCAAGGTGTGTCAAACCCGTTACTTATGGTGCAAGTAACTGAGATGAAGGATGTGATTTTTATCGGTGTTGGGTATAACCATACTGTCTCTGACGACAACTCTATATGGATGTTCATCAAGACATGGTCAGATATTTGTTCAAAGGGTTCAGGAATCATCGGATGCCCTCGTCTTCTCCACAAAGGTTGGTTCTTCGATGGGATCGATTATCCAATCCATATTCCAGATCCTGAAACAGATGGAGGAAGAGATCTTGATGATAATAGTTTGAAAACATCAACCGTTTTACGAGAGATTGTCTTTCATGTAACAAAAGAGAATGTTTTGAAACTGAAAGCTAAAGCCAACGATGAAGCTGGGTCTACTGATGTGAAGATCTCCTCTCTTCAAACGGTGTTAGCACATATATGGCGTTCAGGGGTTAGGCACAGTGGCATGAAGCTCGAAGATGTAACCCATTGCAGTTTACCAGCAAACATGAGGCATAGGCTCGAACCACCGTTCGCTGAAGACTGTTTTGGGCACTTTTGCCCTGAAGGGATCATCTCAACAACGGTCCGGGAGCTGCTAGAAAATGGACTAGGCTGGTCTGCTATGCTTATAAACACAATGGTAGGGTTACAGACGAGTGAAAGAGTCAAAGCTTCTGCTGAGGAATGGGTGAAAACTTTTGAATATTCAGTGTGTTTTGGAGGATTCTCCTTGTTTGTCTCTAGCTCACACCGGTTAGATTGGTACTGCAATGATTTCGGTTGGGGTAAACCGATCACTGCAAGAGCTGCACCAACGTATCTCAGTGGGAGCATCGTTCTTTTGAAAGGCTTTGATGAGGGAAGTCTTGATTTACAAGCTTGTTTACCATTGGAAGTAATGGTAAACCTATTGAAAGATGGTGACTTTTTGGAGTATGTGAATATTGCATGACATGATTTGTTCAAATCAAGACATCCATATCTCTCGGTTTTTTTCCCCCTTTTCTACTATGTCTTGTGTCTTGTGATTCCCATCATTAAAGAGGAAAAAAAATCATAATAAAAGTTTGTATTGTTTTTGAGATGGAAACACATTACTTTCACTGTTTCACATCTGTGATAGTTATTAAGGTTATATCTTAAGTTACGTATTAGATGTAATGCAGGTTTTGAGAGACCGTTAATGGCATGTTGCGGATACGGAGGCAGTCCTTATAACTACAATGTGAATATAACATGTGGGCATAGAGGCTTTAATGTACTATGTGACAAAGGGTCTCGTTTCATATGCTAGGATAGGATTCATTACAATGAGACAGCTAATGCCATTGTGGCTATGAAAGTGCTTTCCATGCAATACTCTAAGCCACAATGAGATTGAAAAATATGTAATTTGCGCTATGAGAGTGACAAGATACTCTAAGCCACATTGTGATATTGAAAAATACTCTAATATGGTTTTTAATTATTTCGAATGAAAACGACGAGATGTATGATTTTTTACATAAATATTATGAAGTAGACTTTCCCCTTTATGTAAATCCCAAATTGAAACAAAAATAAAAAAATCCCCAAATCAAAATCGAAAATTCACAGCCTTTCTTACTGCAGCTAATTTCAGAAAAAAGCTGTGAACTTCAGCTCAATCGAACCTTCCGAGAGTCAGCGACAACATTCAGATTCCAGCAAAAGACCAAGACGTCCAAACTCTAAAAAACATTTAGCAGAAAGCTCTGTCCGAAAAATTTAAGCTTCCAGAGCTTTTGTGCTTGAGCTGGTTAAGATCATAAGCTCTTAACCATCTTGAAGCAGTCTCATCAGAATCAGTTTCTCGCCAAAATCCGTGAATGAAGAGGGTTCGCTTAATCCTACACAGAACTTACTGCACAGCCACTAGAGTCAATCTCAATCACAGCTTTCAAATCTCTCGTCTCTCAAAGCTCGGCCAAATCAATGAAGCAAGAAAGTGTTTCGATTCCTTACGCTTCAAAGCAATCGGTTCTTGGAACTCCATCGTCTCCGGCTACTTCGCAAACGGCAACCCCAAAGAAGCACGCAAACTGTTCGACGAAATGCCCGAGAGAAACATCGTTTCTTGGAACGGGTTAGTCTCAGGGTACATCAAGAACAGAATGATCAACGAAGCGAGAGAAGCCTTCGAGACGATGCCGGAGCGTAACGTCGTCTCGTGGACGGCGATGGTGAAAGGTTACGTGCAAGAAGGTATGGTTGATGAAGCAGAGTTCTTGTTCTGGACAATGCCTGAGAAGAACGAGGTTTCTTGGACTGTGATGTTCGGCGGTTTGATCGACGACGGGCGTGTGGACGACGCGCGTAAGCTCTACGACATGATGCCTGTGAAAGACGTTGTGGCGAGCACCAACATGATTGGTGGGTTGTGTAGAGAAGGAAGAGTCGATGAGGCGAGAGAGATTTTCGACGGGATGAGAGATCGGAACGTGGTGACGTGGACATCGATGATTACCGGTTACGGACAGAACAACCGTGTGGATGTTGGTCGGAAGCTGTTTGAAGTGATGCCGGAGAAGAAGAGTGAAGTTACTTGGACGTCAATGCTTTTAGGGTATACGTTGAGTGGGAGAGTTGAGGAAGCTGAGGAGTTTTTTGAGTCGATGCCGGTTAAGCCGGTTATCGCTTGTAACGCGATGATTGTTGGGTTTGGAGAGCAAGGAGAGATAGAGAAAGCGAGGAAGGTTTTTGATGAGATGGAAGAGAGAGATAACGTGACGTGGAAGGTGATGATTAAGGCTTATGAAAGGAAAGGTTTTGAATTGGAAGCTCTTGATTTGTTTGGTGAGATGCAGAGAGATGGAGTTAAACCGAGTTTTCCTTCTCTGATCAGTGTTCTTTCGGTTTGTGGGAGCTTGGCGAGTCTGCAACACGGTAGAGAGGTCCATGCACATTTGGTGAGATGTCAGTTTGATGTTGATGTTTATGTCGCCTCTGTTTTGATGACAATGTATGTGAAATGTGGTGAGCTTGTGAAGGCGAAGCTGGTGTTTGACCGGTTTGGTTCGAAGGATGTTATCATGTGGAACTCGATTATTTCCGGTTATGCTTCTCACGGTTTAGGAGAGGAGGCTCTTAAGGTGTTTAACGAGATGGCGTTGTCTGGTACAATGCCAAATAAAGTCACTTTGATTGCGATTCTAACGGCGTGTAGCTATGCTGGGAAGGTAGAGGAAGGGATTGAGATATTTGAGTCGATGGAGTCTAGGTTTTGCGTTGAGCCAGCTGTTGAGCATTATTCTTGCACTGTGGATATGCTTGGGCGTGCAGGAAGGATAGATGAGGCGATGAAGGTGATAGAAAGCATGACGGTGAAGCCAGATGCTACGGTTTGGGGTTCTCTGTTGGGAGCTTGTAGGACTCACTCGAGGTTGGATTTGGCTGAAGTCGCTGCGAAGAAGCTGTTCGAGATCGAACCGGAGAACGCTGGTCCGTATGTTTTGCTGTCAAGCATAAACGCGTCTAGAGGTAAGTGGGGGAATGTTGCAGAGCTGAGGAAGACGATGAGGACGAAGAATGTTAACAAGTTCCCTGGCTCAAGCTGGATTGAGATAGAGAAGAAAGTGCATATGTTCACTCGTGGAGGTATCAGAAACCATCCGGAGGAAGAGATGATATCGATGGTGTTGGAGAAGACAGATGGGTTGCTGAGAGAAGCTGGTTATAGTCCTGATTGTAGCAATGTGTTGCATGATGTGGACGAGGAAGAGAAAGTTGATAACTTGAGGTGTCATAGTGAGAGACTCGCTGTGGCTTATGGACTGTTGAAGCTGCCTGAAGGAGTTCCGATTCGGGTTATTAAGAACCTTAGAGTCTGTGGAGATTGTCACGTTGCGATTAAACTGATATCTAAGGTCACGGAGAGAGAGATCATTCTTAGAGATGCAAACAGGTTCCATCATTTCAAAAACGGAGAGTGTTCTTGTAGAGATTATTGGTAGAGAGAAAAGGATTGAATTTTGGTTTATTTCGTTTTAAGATTCTATTGGTTTTGTTGATGTATAATACAAAGTCTAGAATGTTGCAGGCAATGTACACGCATCACGCATATCAATGCAATTTACAGGCATCACCAATCACTCAATTATCATCATCTTTGCAATTATTCTTATTTGTTCTCATTATCTTGTTTGGGAAGTGACCTACCACTTTTGATTTCGGACTTTATAATATCAAATAAAGAAATATTAATACATATGTATGTTCCGTGTCTCTTGTCTTGTTCTTTATGATTGAGTTTATCAAACTTCCGTCCATAGTGGAAAATGATTAAAAGTTAGGTTTCAATTCAATTGATTGGATAAGTACAAAGACTGGTTGTTGAGTCACATTTCCTCTCTATCTCTATCTGATCAATTTCACTCGAAGAACGCAACAAAGCTTTCTCATTGTGTTCATCGTCTCTAGATTCAATCTCTGTTTCTCTGAGGTAAAAAAGTTTCGATTTTTATGTTTCTGATAATCTAATTTCGCTTCTCTTGATGTGGGTTTGATCCAGTTTTCTTTTCACTGAATTGGGTATATTTTTTAAAAAGTGCAATCGGGTTTTCAAAATTCAGTATTTTGATGATCAAACCTCTGAAAAAATTCGTCCTTTTCGTCGTCTCAATCAGTTGTGGTCGTGCGCTGCTAATTGTAATAGAAAGAAAAAAAAAAAGCTGCAAACTCTAACCTTCATATTGAAAAAGTCACAACCTTTATGTTTTTTTGAATTCTCTTAAGATCTGTCTTCGTTTAGCCATTTGAAAATTTCATTCACCGTTCTAAGCTTTTGAGTGTTGTTTAGTACAAAACTGATTGTTCCATATCTGGTTTGTCTTTACTTTGTCTGTCCTGTGTCTTTAACAGCAAAAGCTTTTAGCTTTCAGTGGCAGTGATGGGCTCTGAAGGACCAACGGCTGTGAGGATCAACATCACAGGCTTCAAGAAGTTCCATGGAGTTGCTGAAAACCCAACGGAGAAAATGGCAAATAACCTTAGAGAGTATTTAGCCAAGAACAGTCAGTCCAAAGACGTGGTTCTTGGAAGCTGTACTGTGCTTGAAACCGCTGGTCAAGGAGCTCTCGCTTCTCTTTATCAGTTGCTAGAAACAGCGGTTAACACTAAAGAATCAGACTCATTAACCTGCGCAAAAACCATTTGGGTCAGTTAGTTAGTTAGTAAGTTACTTAAGCCAAGTGATTTTGATCCTCTATGCTGAAGAAGTTTGTTATGAGTTATGATGTTCTTAGGTTCACTTTGGAGTTAATAGTGGCGCTACGAAGTTCGCAATCGAGCAACAAGCTGTGAATGAAGCCACTTTTCGCTGTCCTGATGAATTGGGCTGGAAACCTCAGGTTCTTGCTTCACACTCATATGGTTCTTGTTTTGATTTTGATTGCTTAATGAAACGTTCTTGTTTCTCTGCAGAATTTGCCAATTGTTCCTACGGATGGTCCAATCTCAACTGTTAGAAAGGTTTGTCTAATGTCTACAACCTCATTCATTGGCTCTTCTTGTTTCTTATATATTTGTGTGTATGATTTTTTGCAGACTACTCTTCCTGTTGGAGAGATCACAAAGGCGTTGGATAAGAAAGGCTTTGAGGTGATAACATCAGATGATGCAGGAAGATTTGTGTGCAACTATGTCTATTACCACTCACTGAGATTTGCAGAACAGAACAAGACCAGTTCCCTCTTCGTTCACGTCCCTCTTTTCGTCGCTGTGGATGAAGAGACTCAGATGAGATTCACGGCTTCTCTGCTGGAGGTACTCGCTTCTATTTGCAAGTAAAATTTGCTAATTTCTTGTTCATGAAAATGTGCCTCATGGACTGATTTGTCTCAACCACCATGAAATGGTCTTTCAATAAATGGAATATAAGTTCACTTCTCTACTCTCTCCTCTACGTATATGCTTCATCTCTTTCATGTTTCTGAGACTTGATCCATTGATCAAATGATATATGAGAATTAATCAACTTAGAAATCAGAAAAGCTTCAATCTTTCTGGACAGACTAATAGTTCGCTTTATGAATCTTCTTCTGTGTTAAGTTCTTGATTTTGCAAAGTATTTATTGTCATATATGATGACTACAATGGAATGTAGTGGTATGCTAAAAAGATGCAGACTTTGAGGACAAATGGCTAAACTTTAGACTAATTTCTTCTGATACTCTTTACTTATATCAAATCTACTCTTAACATTGTGGTGGACATCTATGAACACATCTTATTGTGTTAGCAGTCAGGAAGAGCCTCAAGCAGGCAAGAAACAGGTGGAACTGTAACACTCTGCATAGTTCCATACGCGTTCCAGCAGAACGGGTTTTCGAGAAGCTCGCCATCGGAAGGAAACAGATGAACATCCTCTAGTCTCAGGTTAGTACAGGGGAAAGAGTCACTGCAACCAAAATGCATCGGTGGGCTTCTCAAGTCGTAAGTCCCTTTGATATTCGCATACATAACGTCGCTGATAGCGACCGCGCTTGTTTGGTTAGCGCAGTTCTTGGTTTGGCAGTAGTATTGGTCTATCATTATAGGGTTACGAACGTTCACCATCAAAATGTTGCGAAACACGATTCTTGAAACCGATCCTGACCCTCCTTGCCATGTCTTGATCCGAACACCGTTGTCCGAGTTCCATATGGTTGAGTTTGTCACGGTTATGTTCGAGACCAATGCACTCGAGTTGCGTACTCCAAGGCTACCTATGCTGCAACATTACTCATAAGTTTCTTGTTTTACACTTCAAACATGAAGTAAAAGCCACACAAGACTTTCTTAGAAACAGAGACTAAAGAATCCATTAACGCTTAGGCTCTGTTTTAAGCTTAGTTTGGTGTTAAAAAGAGAGACTTGTGAGCTCAAAAGGCTTAGACTTTAAGCCTAATCTATAAGAGCCACATAGAGTTTGGCAGAAGATGGGACAAAACTTAATGGAAATTATGAAAGTGGTACCTAATCCCATGGCTTGGACCGCACGTAATGTTCTTAATATCCACATTAAAGCAGCCGGCTCCGATTGAAATACAATCATCTCCTGTTCATGACCAAATTAAAAGAAACATAAAACTTACTTAGAATTCGACAAAAAATACTGTTGTACTAACGAAAATTACCGTTTGAAATCACGGAATCACGAATCTGAACGTTATGTGTGTTTTCAATGTGGATGCCATCAGTGTTGGGACTAGAAGCTGGTGCCTTGATGGTCACGGAATCTACAACCACATCACTGCAATTGTCAAACCTTACATGGAACTGAGCACTGTTCATGAAGTAAAGCCCCTTGATTCTCACTTCTGAGCTTTGAAATATCCTAATCGCCTGACACCATAATCAAAATGACATTCTAAAAACTTATAATTCACTGATTTAATTTGACTTATATGTTACAACAAATGTGACTGACTAACCACAGGACTGTCACAAGGACCGGGTTGAGTTGTTCCGTTAAGACCCTTGTGAGGTTTGCAAGGGAGGTACCACCATTTCTGGCCACGGCCATTGATAAAACCAGAGCCTTGAATTGATAATCCATTCACTCTGTAAAACATTATCCATTGCCTCTTGTAGTTCCATGGCCAAGACTTTGGTCCATCCGGTGACACAATGATCCCATCGATCTATAAGGATGGCAGAAATCCGTATATGAAACTATGAAAAACACAAAACATATGACATATATAGACTTAGGGAATTAATCTAGGTTTGGCTCAGGACCACACTTACTTGTAATGTAAGGCGAGTTCTGCAAGGACCATTGAAGCTGGTTGGCTTCACCAAGAAACAGAAGGTGTATGGAGCAAGAAGCACGGCTGAGTCAACACTTGTGCTCATGCAAGCCGTGTCCCATGCCATCTTGAATGCTGGTGTGTCGTCCGTCCAGCAATCGCCGATGGCTCCAAATGAAGTCACGTCGAAGACGGTTAAGGCATTGTCGTTGTCATCATAATAAGCCGGACTTGGAGCCGGTGACGGGCCTAGATTCATGTTATGAGCAATGCGAGACGACGAGAATAAGATCAAGAAGAATGTGAAGAAGAATGAAGGGAATGGCATTTTTGTTTTTGTAGATGAAGAATGCTGCATGAGCATATACAATATATATACATGTATATTTACACACATTTGTGAAGGTACGTATACAAAGAGGATAAAATTTAAAAGGAGTAATGGACTTCATTATCCTATTTATGTATATGGTGTAGACTTTAGGGTTCAATAGGTTAAGCCAAATTGTCTCACGGGCGAAAAATGTAATTTGGGAGTAGCCCATTAGGCATTAGGGTACATTTTTAGGCTAGTTACCTAGCGATATAAATGGTTGTTGCGTTAGAGATAAACTCTTACTAAACATATCTTTAGTTTCTACAGTAACTGCCTCTTCTGAATTTTGAAAATGAAATTTGACATATAGAGCTTACAAACAAGTTGTTTATTCTCCAAATTCTCTATTTTATTAGTATGAACATAAAGAAAAAAATGTTTAATTTTCTATTCGATCATGACTAGTTTAATAATGTTTAGACGAGTGATAGGATTATGTTTTCTTTGTTCTCCATATTTTTTTATGGGTGTACAATATATAATTATAAACTATGCACATATGTGGGATCTAATCTAATTAATTATAAACCAAAAATCCTAAGACAGAAGATCTGAGGGGATATCTTGATTGAATTACAATAACAATATTGAACTTTGAAATGAATTTTATTTTATGTTATAAAATATTGAAAATGGTATTTTATCCTGCAAATTACACAGTACAACAATTATAAATTAACTAATTAATATTGATACACACACAATTTAATCTTAATTGTGTTTAAAAAATCCTTATGGCGTGGGATACCACCTATTTCTTTAAGTAGCCGAAGTAAGTTGGTTCTGGGAAATGGTAGAATGTGGTCACAAGTATATTGGACAATCCTTTGTTTGTATAAGGCTCTTAGTCCCCAACCCCTAAAACCTATGATAAAAAGTCTTTTAGATTCACTTTTCTCTTCATTTCAACTTCTCATATTGGCAGTGTGGTCGATTCTCCCTTTTCCCATTCTTGTGCCTCTGAAGTCCAAAAGTGTTGGCAAGCAAATTGATATTGGCTTTGATATATTATTTGCTTTTTTTTTTCAGTTTATATAACTGGGAATGTTATATTGACTATGTTTAACCATGTATCATGATTGCATATGCAATAGTTAACGCAATAAATAACATTAATAATCAAATTTGTAAAGGCCAAATGCTACACTACAAATTTGTAGAAGAATGTATCATATCTTATATATATAATAGGAAGTTGCTCTCTCCATCTAGAGTGTCCACATCAGCACAAAAACATTAAATTGTATTTAAATTATTTATTAAATATATGACTATTCATATTTCTTTACATTTATTCATATTTAATAAAAATATACAAATAAATTAATTAATTAATAGAAAGTATGTGATAATTTGATGTTAAAAGTTATCAAAAAGTTGGAATATAAAATAGAGATGGAGTAAAGAAATATTTAACTTCAAATAGTATATATTTACCTTTTTATTCAAAGGATTTATCATATTTAAAAATGTTATAATGTGTTTACAAGTTAAAAAGTTGAATATAAATTAATTAAGATAATAGAAAGCTAATGAAACATTAGAGTTAGAGTTTGTTTTTCTAAACAAATAGAAATGAGTTTTATATGTAAATTTAATTGTAGTGAAAAACAAGAATATGTTTACAAATTTTAACCTTCAGTCAAATGCATATACATATTTATAAATTTTAACCTTCAATCAAATACATATACATGTTTACAGTCTAATAGAAGTAAAAAAAAAGTAAACAAACATAATATTTATAACATGATAAATTTTAGAAATAGAAAACTCGAGATAAAGCGGGTGTTAATATCCTAATAAATTAAAATAAAAAACAAATTATTCATATTTTTTAGTGTTAGTGGTTGAGTTAACTCAAAACATAACAAAAACATGAAAGTTAATACAAAACCATCATAATTCAAATCAACGAGTATAAATAAAATTAAACAGAAAAACTATCGCAAACAACCCCGCGCTTGCGCGGGGCTTCAAACCTAGTGTTTCCAATGCGTAATATAAATAACATTTTTGACACCTAGTCAAAGTTTCAAGCTTTTGAGTTTTCCAAGTTGTCTATTTTGAATCTCCATTTATTTTTTGTTCAATTGAATTCTAATATTGATATGTGAATTGCTTAGCGCAAAAAAAAAAAGAACATATACATCGTTCTTAAAAGCTGGTCATTCCGTTATGAAAATGAAAAAATAATTCAACAGAAAAAACTATAGGCCGGGTTGATTTATTGAAGGCTTCCATTTATTATTATTACTAGTAGAGGACCCGCGCAAATGCGCAGTGTGACATTGCGGTTTTGTGAAGAAAATTTAAATCCTAAACATGAGTCCGACCCAAAAATCCTAATCAAAATTTTTGAAAACCCTAAACTTTTTAATATGTCTAAACCCGAAAACCCGGAATTCAAAACATCCCGAAAACCCTGAACCGAATAAAATTAAACTCGAAAGTTTTTCACTCGAAACCCGAACCCGACCTAAGAACCCTAATAATTTTTTTAAATACCCAAAATTTTTAAATATGTCTAAACCCAAAAACCCGAAATCCAAAAAAATCCGGAAAACCCTGAACTAAACAAAATAAAAACTCGAATCCAAACTGATCAGAAATTTTCAAAAAACCAGAACAGAAATCCACAATTTGATTTAAATTAGAGGTATTTCTATTGCACTATTGGAAATTTTGCAAATATCTCTCGATAATATTATATTAATTTGGTATTATCGATAGATTATGTTAATTTTATTTTTGTTGCAGATTTTTTAAGAGCTGAAAAACGGAAGTTTTTTAAACTATCGGTTTGTTTTAAGTTATTATTCTTGTATCCAAACAATTTTTTTCTTTTGCTCTTCTATCCAAATAAGATTTTTCTTTATTCTTGTATATCCAAACATTAGAATGTATATTTTGCGTTAATTTTGCTGTTATTACTTAAGTGTTTTCTGTTCTAATATCTCTCATGCATTATATTAAGTTTCCTATCGGTAGTGATACGATCATGGAGGAGGTTACTGGGAACTTGGATCAGGAAGCAGCTGGAGAGCTTGAACCAGAGGAGAAGCAGCTTGAACTAGAGGAGGAGCAGCTTGAACCTGAGGAGGAGCAGCTTGAACCTGAGGAAGCTCTGGAAGCCTTGGCTTTACCAACTGGTCCCATCACAAGGTCCCAGACTAAGATGCTCAACCAAGACATTGGAAGAGTACTTAGCCGTTTGAGTCGGCATGATCAGGAGCTTAAACATTCCACTTTGGTTTGTTTGAGAGCCCAACACTTGGGATAAAGAAGCAAGTGGACTTTAGTGTGCTCTTTTTCCCTGCAAGGTTTTGTCCCTTTGGGTTTTACTTGGCAGGTTTTTAACGAGGCCTAAAGCCCACTTCCCATCCCTTCTTTGTCTCATGTTGTTTGGGTCCGGCCCAGGCCCTTTTATTTTGAATTCTTGCCGCCCAATGCATGAGAACCTTTCTTTATTGTTTTGTTTCATTTTCGAGAATGGTTGGAGCTTGTTCCAATCAGTTCTCTCTCTCTCTCTTCCTCTCTCCTTTATTTGTACTGGACGAATTTCCCTTTCACTTTATGCAACCTTGAATGAAAAACCCTTTTCCTTTGTTTAATCAAAGATTTCTTAGTGTGATTCTAAGAACCTTTCTCTTGGTGTGTTGAATCCAGGAAATCCCTTTAGTATAGTTGTGAGTTGTATCAACTATCTTAGAGGTGGTGTTGGAGATTCCTTTCCATTGATCTCTGGTATAGCCATTCAATCCATTCTCATCTATCCTTCCATCGATCCATTCATCACTTCATCATTTCAATCCATTCCGCCAAGTTCTCTGGTTCCTTTCATTCCATCATCATCATTCAACCTCTACTTGCTTCAAAGTGCCGATCCTCAACAAGGGGTCTATCAAGTGGTATCAGAGCCACTTTGAAGCTAAGTGAATCTCTCTTTTACTTTTCGATTTTTCATTTGTGCATCTTTGGCAATTGTGACTGTTCATCTTCTGATCTAGATCTGGCCAGTTTCATTTGTTGCATAATTTTAAAATTGTTGAAATAATTAATCCTGATCACTCTCATAGATCTATCCATCTACTATTTTTCCCATATTTTTAGAAATTGTTTACATAATTTCTAAAATTATTTCTTGATCTTTTCCTTTGAACTATTACTGCCGAGTTCTTCTGTTGTTTCAGGTACTATGGCGGATGGAAAGGAAGATGAAGAAGATTCGAACAAGAGTCTCAGTGAATCCCTTCTGGAACAATCAAGAAGCTCATGAGGGAAGAGTTTGAACGGAGGGAACAAATTAAGGCAGGAAAGCGCAAGAGTCTAGAGATCACATCCATATCTCGGATGAGGAGGGAGGAACGACCCTATGGCCTCAAGAAGGATGGCCGATGAGCAAGCCAATGCTTACTACAACAGTGGCCATTCCTCTCAAGGAAGCGGCGCCGCTCTAGAAGGCATCGCGATGATCCAGAAAATCTTGGAGGATACAAGATCCGGATTCCCCCTTTCCATGGCAACAACAATCCTGATGAGTACATGGACTGGGAGAAGAAGTGTGAGTTCAACTTCAACTTACACAACATATCCAACATCAACAGAGTCAAACTGGCGGTCTCTGAGTTCAATGACTATGCCCTAAGGTGGTGGGAACAAGTCGTGACCGCAAGAGAGATTGGTGGAGCTCTTGAGGTCTCTACCTGGGAAGAGATGACAAGGATCATGAGGCAGAGGTTCATCCTAGCTATTATCAGAGAGAGCTACATTCTAAGCTCAGGAGGCTCACTCAAGGGTCCAAAACAGTTGAAGAATACTTCCAGGAGATGGAAGTGATGTTGCTAAGGGCTAATGTGATTGAGGACAGAGAAGCCACTATGTCCAGGTTCCTTGGAGGGCTCAACCGCGAGATCCAAGACATTGTGGAGATGCAAAACTGTGTGGGCTTAGAGTCTATGCTACACAAGGCCGTCTGGCTGAGCAACAGCTCAAGAGAAAGACACCCTCACGCTTGGAGCTGATCAGCGCAGGCCGATGAATCCAAGAGACTCCAAACCGGCTTTCACACCAAACTGAGCCAGAGGACCTCTTACAGTCAAGACAAGGACAAAGAAAACCAGTCAACTCTGTCCTAGAGCTCGCGAGCTTAAGTGCTTCAAGTGTCAAGGCTTTGGACACTATGCCTATGAATGCCGCAACAAGAAGATATGTTCATAAGAGACAATGGAGAAGTGGAGTCTGAGGAAGATCATTGTCTATAAGCCAGAGCAAGAGCCAGAGCCAGAAGAGTATGAGGCCGTTCCTGTCATGGGAAAGCTTCTGGTAGCCAGAAGACTCTTGAGCGCTCAAGTCCAAAACCAAAGGAAGCCCAGAGAGAGAATCTCTTCCATTCACGCTGTCTTGTCCAGGAGAAGGTTTGCAGTCTCATCATTGATGGAGGCAGTTGCACTAATGTGGCTAGTGAGGCCATGGTTGAAACTTGGTCTTGTGACTCAGAAACATCCCAAGCCATATCAGTTACAATGGATCAATGAGACTGGAGATATGAGCGTGAAGGAACAGGTGCTTGTGCCACTATCTATAGGAAGCTATGAAGATGAGATTTTGTGTGATGTCCTGCCTATGGATGCTGGACACATCATTTGGGAAGGCCTTGGCAATCTGATAGGCGAGTGATGCATGATGGTTTCACAAACAAGTACACTTCCTTCACAAGGGGCGTAAGACCACTCTTATTCCCTTAACCCCTCAAGAGGTGTATGAAGATCAAGTCAGCTGTGCAGTCAGAGAACCAAACCTCAAGCCAAGAAGGAGCCACCAATCCAATCAAGTCCTTGAACTATCTGGTCAAGTCCAAACAGGTTAAAAGTTCCATGTCTTCTGATAAGCCTTTTCTCTTTTTATCTTTAAAGGATCACTTAACCTTCTTGTTGATAATGCACCGGAGATTCCGAGTGAGATGTCCAAACTTTTACAGGATTTCCAGATGTGTTTCCAGATGATTGCCCAAAAGGATTGCCACCAGTCAGAGGCATTGAGCATCAAATAGACTTTGTTCCTGGATCCACACTTCCAAACCGTCCAGCATACAGAACCAATCCTGTTGAAACCAAAGAACTCCAGCGCCAAATTGATGAGCTTATGGATAAGGGTCACATCCGGGAAAGCATGAGTCCTTGTGCTGTTCCTGTTCTTCTTGTGCCCAAGAAAGATGGGAGTTGGCGCATGTGTGTGGACTGCAGAGCCATCAACAATATCACTGTAAAGTATCGACATCCTATCCCTAGACTTGATGATATGCTTGATGAGTTGCATGGTTCTAGCATTTTCTCTAAAATTGATTTAAAAAGTGGTTATCATCAGATTAGGATGAAAGAAGGTGATGAAGTGGAAAACTGCATTTAAAACTAAACATGGTCTTTATGAATGGCTTGTCATGCCATTTGGTCTCACTAATGCACCTAGTACATTCATGCGCTTAATGAACCATATCTTGAGAAACTTCATTGGTCATTTTGTTGTGGTTTACTTTGATGACATCTTGATTTACAGCAAGAACCTTGAAGAGCATCTAGATCACCTTGCATCTGTCCTGTCTGTGCTAAGAAAAGAAAATTGTTTGCCAATCTTAAGAAATGTACTTTTTGCACAGATAATGTGGTTTTTCTAGGCTTTGTTGTGAGTGCAGATGGAGTCAAGGTGGATGAAGAGAAAGTTGCAGCATCAGAGAATGGCCAAGTCCTAAGACAGTGAGTGAAGTCAGAAGCTTCCATGGCCTAGCTGGGTTCTATAGGCGGTTTGTCCGTGATTTTAGTACCTTGGCCGCACCTTAACTGAAGTCATCAAGAAAGAAGTTGGATTCAAGTGGGAGAAAGCACAGGAGGATGCTTTCCAGCTCTCAAGGATCGCTTGACTAATGCCCCTGTTCTTATTTTACCTGACTTCTTGAAAACTTTTGAGATTGAATGTGATGCTTCAGGTATAGGCATAGGAGCTGTCTTGATGCAGGACAAGAAGCCAATTGCTTTCTTTAGTGAAAAGCTTGGAGGAGCCACTCTCAACTATCCAACCTATGACAAAGGAACTCTATGCCTTGGTCCGCGCCTGCAAACTTGGCAACACTATCTCTGGCCAAAGGAGTTTGTCATCCACACAGACCATGAATCTCTCAAACATCTCAAGGGCCAACAAAGCTCAACAAGAGGCATGCCAGGTGGGTTGAATTCATTGAGACATTCCCATATGTCATCAAGTACAAAAAAGGTAAGGACAATGTTGTAGCCGACGCATTGTCCAGGAGGTACACTCTTCTCTCAACTCTTGATGCTAAACTCTTGGGCTTTGAACAGATAAAAGACTTGTATGCTTCTGATTCTGATTTTGCTGAGATTTACAAGTCTTGTTCTAAATTTGCTTTTGGCCGATACTAGACAAGATGGGTTTCTCTTCTATGAGAACCGTTTGTGTGCCTAATTGTTCTTTGAGGGATTTGTTTGTCAGGGAAGCACATGGAGGAGGCTTGATGGGACACTTTGGTGTGGCCAAAACACTTCAAGTCATGAGGATCATTTTCATTGGCCGCACATGATCAGAGATGTGGAGAGGATTTGTTCTAGATGTGCAACTTGTAAACAATCCAAATCTAAGGTTCAACCTCACGGTTTGTACACTCCTCTCCCTATTCCATCTCATCCCTGGACTGATATATCCATGGATTTTGTGCTTGGATTGCCTAGGACTAGAACTGGAAAAGATTCTATCTTTGTGATAGTTGATAGGTTCTCAAAAATGGCTCATTTTGTGGCATGTCGTAAAACTGATGATGCATCTCATGTAGCTGCTCTGTTCTTTAAAGAGATTGTTAGATTGCATGGCATGCCGCGCACCATTGTTTCTGATCGTGATACAAAGTTCCTGAGTTATTTTTGGAAAACTTTGTGGTCTAAGTTGGGTACTAAGCTTTTATTTTCTACTACTTGTCACCCTCAAACTGATGGCCAAACTGAAGTTGTTAATAGAACTCTTGGAACTTTGTTGCGCGCCTTGATTAAAAAGAATCTTAAAAGTTGGGATGAATGTTTGCCACATATTGAGTTTGCATATAACCATGCTGTGCATTCTGCTTCTAAGTTTTCTCCATTTGAAATTGTTTATGGGTTTAAGCCCATCTCTCCTTTGGATTTGATGCCTTTGCCTTTGAGTGAAAGATTAAGCACAGATGGAAAGCACAAGGCAGAGACAGTCAAGAAGATCCATGAGCAAGCCAGAAGGAACATTGAGGCAAAACCAAGCAGTATGCTCAACATGCCAACAAGGGCCGAAAGGAATGGTCTTTGAAGTGGGAGACAAGGTTTGGATCCATCTGCGCAAAGAGAGTTCCCGGCCGAGCGCAAATCCAAACTTATGCCAAGGATAGATGGACCATTTGAGATCACCAGAAGAATCAACAACAACTCCTACCAAATTGATCTCCAAGGTAAGTATAACATAAGTTCAAGTTTTAATGTTACTGATCTTTCTCCTTTTCTTGCAGATGAACCAGATTTGAGGACAAATCCTTTTCAAGAGGGAGGGGATGATATGATCATGGAGGAGGTTGCTAGGAACTTGGACCAGGAAGCAGCTGGAGAGCTTGTAGCAGAGGAGGAGCAGCTTGAACCTGAGGAAGCTTTGGAAGCTTGACCTTACCAACTGGTCCCAGTTACAAGGTCCCAAACTAAGTTGCTCAACCAAGACATTGGAAGAGTACTTAGCCGTTTGAGTCGGCATGATCAGGAGCTTAAACATTCCACTTGGTTTGTTTGAGAGCCCAACACTTGGGATAAAGAAGCAAGTGGATTCTTAGTGTGCTCTTTTTCCCTGCCAAGGTTTTGTCCCTTTGGGTTTTCCTTGGCAGGTTTTTAATGAGGCCTAAAGACCCACTTCCATCCCTTCTTTGTCTCATGTTGTTTGGGTCCGGCCCACCTTTACTGAATCTTGCCGCCCAAGCATGAGAACTTTCTTTATTGTTTTGTTTCATTTTCGAGATGGTTGGAGCTTGTTCCAATCATCTCTCTCTCTCTCTCTCTTCCTCTCTCCTTTATTTGTACTGGACGAATTTCCCTTTCAGTTTATGCAACCTTGAATGAAAAACCCTTTTCCTTTGTTTACTCAAAGATCTCTTAGTGTGATTCTAAGAACCCTTTCTCTTGGTGTGTTGAATCCGAGAAATCCCTTTAGTATAGTTGTGAGTTGTATCAACTATCTTAGAGGTGGTGTTGGAGATTCCTTTCCATTGGATCTCTGGTATAGCCATTCAATCCATTCTCATCTATCCCTTCCATCGATCCATTCATCACTTCATCATTTCAATCCATTCCGCCAAGTTCTCTGGTTCCTTTCATTCCATCATCATCATTCAACCTCTACTTGCTTCAAAGTGCCGATCCTCGACAAGGGGTCTATCAGGTAGCATCTTGGACCAGCTGGTAAATTTGGAGCTATATACAAGTAAAAAAGCATGGTGGGAAGTACTTGATTCCATGCTCCATCACTCTCCTAAATTGAAAGTCCTCAAGCTCATCGATGTAAGTAGAATTTAATATAATTTTAGGTCGGTTTTAGGTTTGATGATTTTGTAATGACATACACTGTATTTTCTACTTCATTAGTCTCCGAGTCCCCGGGCTTGGAGAAAACAATTCAAGCTTAATGGGAAGTGGAAGAAATCAGAGACTGTTCCTATTTGTTTGTTGTTTCATCTCGAGACATTCGTGTTGGAAGGCTACGACAGATCGCTATTAACAGTGGAGAGAAAAGTGGTACGATACATTCTCAGGAAGGCAAAACATTTGAAGAGAGCAACTTTTTCCTCAGAACTCAAGAGGTATGGTTTTGAAAATGTGTCCAGGGCTTCAAATCCACCCCAGCTTGTTTTTATTTAAAAATATTAGGTGAGTGAGTCTAACCATTTGAGTTAGATATATATTTTCTTAGAACGAGGTGATTAGATTTATATGTTTAACTTTAAATATGTTTTGGATGTTGAGTTTGATCAATATATAACCATTTAAGGACTTGAAAGTCGAAAGATAAATTTATGCTTGTTTGTTACGGTTACTTTCATAGCGATACAGTCAATGGATTTGCCGATATATTTGATTAGATTTTGTTGATTTGAGATATTGATCGTTTCAGCATATGAGACCTAAAAATAAAAAATAGTAACTGGTCCCGGCGGGGCTCGAACCCGCGACCTTCGGCTCATAAGACCAACGCTCTAACCAACTGAGCTACGGGACCAGATGCTTTATTTTGGTTACGTGAAATTTCTTGTACAGAGAATAAAGAAAAACAATCTATACAGAGAGCAGAGAAAAAGAATAATCTCCATAATAGCACACTTTGCTTTGAATCTTGCTAGAGTGACTTCTGTGTTTTTTATATATGTAAAGTAGATTCTGAAGAGTTGATGCAGTAATACAAACAATCTATACACACCAATATATTATTTTTGATGTAGGAGCTCTAAATACAAACCCAATCCCATGTACAAGAAATCATCTATGGTCTACTCATCCGAATTCAAAACCAGAACAAAAAAATTTATAAGCAAATATTACAAGAAAAAGCACAATAACAAAGCTCAAAGAATAGATTATTAAATGGATTATCGTCTCTTGCTCTGTGATCTTGAAATTGGTGTACTCATGTCAATGTCTGAGTCCATACTCCCTTCTCGCGTTCTAGTACGTCTTCGTTCCTGAAATTAACATATTTCAAGTTACGTTCTTGTTATGTTAGCTGTTATATATCGTTCTTGTTATGGTATAATGTTAGAATGCTAACCTCTCTTGGAATTGGATATTCTTCAGACTCAAGCATACGTACTACTTGGCTCATTTTTGGCCGCTTTTCGGAATCTGGATCAACGCATCTTAGAGCGGTCAAAAGTGCTCGTTTCAATGATCTTGTAGGTGGCCTTACTTCTATGTTTGGATCCACTACTTCTTCTGATCGCCTTGTTCCAACCATCATTTTCAACCAGTCCACTAGATTCACCTGAAATGATTCAGTACAAAAGTCTACCGCTGTTAAGTTTCATGGGCTTCCAATTCAAAACAGAACGAAAAAAAAAAAAAAAAAAAAAAATTTACTACCTCATGAGCAGGGCGGCCATAGTCCACAGGGTCACGTCCTGTGATTGATTCTAAGAGCACAACACCGAAGCTATAGACATCGCTCTTTTCATTTAACAGTCCTGTGTTTGCATATTCAGGAGCTACATACCTGCAAAATATTTAACGATGGCTTGAGCATTAAGCTTTGATACTAAAGAGCTTCTTGATTTCAGTTTTGTAGCCTCTCTCTTACCCAAATGTTCCCATCACTCGAGTTGTCACATGGCTTTTCCCAGCGCCAAGCAACTTGGCAAGGCCGAAATCCGAAACCTTTGCGTTGAATTCGTCGTTGATCAGTATGTTGCTTGACTTGATGTCTCGGTGTACTACCTTTGGCTCAATTGCTTCATGCAGATATGCAAGACTAAAAAAACACAGGATGATAAATGAGTGAGAAGAAGAAACGAGACGAGTTTGCGGTTGCGAGAAAAGCAATCCAATCTTGCTTACGCTTTAGATGTACCGATGAGAACCTTCATCCTCGCTTCCCAAGTTAGATATCCATGTTGTCTCATTGCTCCATGAAGCCATTGTTCTAAATTTCCATTGTTCACATACTCGTAAACCAATATCCTAATAGCGAATTCCCATTGATCTCAATTAAAAACTCACAAATTTGGTTTAAGTAAAATAAGATAAATGTTTAATGGTTATACCTGTGAGTGCCTTCAATGCAGTATCCAAGAAGACGAACCAAGTTCTTGTGACGCACATGACCAATAGCATCAACCTCAACTCTAAACTCTTTCTCTGCTTGTCCCCTACAAAATAAAATCAAGAAAAAAACTCAACAAGTGAATAAATCAAGAAAGCGTAAAAGAAATTCAAATTCTTGTAACAAGAACTTACAATTGGTTAAGAATCTTTTTAACTGCAACAGGAGTTCCATTTATCAACTCTCCTCTGTAAACAACTCCGTAACCACCTTCACCGATAACATTCTCCTTTGAGAATCTGTTAGTTGCTATTTCAAGATCTCTCAATGTAAACCAGTGTCCCCAACCAAGATGCGACTCAGGCAAACCAGACAATGGAGATGGCGTTGCAATGTTATACAATGATGATGAAGAAGGTTGATTTACGGAAACTTCTTCACCTGACTCGGAATGTTTATCTATGATCTCTAAATGATGAAATGAGCCTGACCGGCTGCAACTACTTCCACCCTTGTTCTTTCGCTTCTTGCCTATATCTAAATGAACCAAGACTTTGTCTGAATCTTTGTTGTTTTTGTCTTGAATTGTGAGAAGAATGCCTTCACGAGGAGCAAAGTTACTCGCTGAGACATGCTCAACTCTCACTTCTTTGATCTCCTTGGAGACTTGAGGGATTTGAGTAATCGGAAGACCGGTTTTCGATCTTCTTGATTTCTTTTTCGATGTAAGACAATACGAAAGAACAGAGAGTATGGCTATGATGAGCAATGCAACCGCTATTCCAATTACTTCCCAAACTTTGAGTCCAAATATATGACTCTCTCTAGATAGCTGGCTTTTCAGGTCATTACCCATTTTACCCCTAAAATTAACATTAACCAGAAAATCAGAAACAAGAAACAAGAAACAAGAGTGTTAGTTGATACGTGAAGACTCTTCAAGTTTTTTTTCTTTTTTTTCTTTTTTTGTGGTCCCATGTTTATCCACAGAGAAATTTACTCACAGAAAGACAAATATTTCCCAGAAATTCACAAAAAGGACAACAGAAGGAGCTAAAATCAAGGACATATAAAGAACAACAGCATTTATCAGAGCAAAAGTTAGTTGCTCCAATTCGACGATGCAAAAACACAACCAATAATATAATGATTGTCTTAAATATAAAAATCAGACAACACAGAGAAGAGCAAGTACGAAAGAAGATAAGAATTAAATGATTGATTAATTATTACCTCTTAAAGTTTCAGATCTTTGAAGACTATACACCCATTTATCAATCTTGACAAGAAAGTATTCCAGATCCTAGACAAAAGCAAAACCCAAATTTGATAGAAGTGAGGAAAACGGTGAAGTAGCAAAATCTCAGATTCAAGAATCAAGAAAATGAACAGCTCAGACAAAGAGACAAGACCTTTCTTTGGCCCCAATCGTAAGGCAAGTGTCAATGTAGAAGAAAGGACTGTGAGATCTAAGCTTGTCAAGAGCTGTCATGTAACCACAACAACTACATATGTAATAGTAAAAAACGAATTCAAATAAACACTCTGGCCCAGCAGATAACTGAACGTGGAAATGTCTAACAAAAGAAAGAGGTAAATTTTTCTTAACTTTGGAGTTTAATTTGAAGAAAAGGAGAAAACTTTGAAATGTGGGCAGTGAGATCTGGTGGAAGGTAATAAGAGAAGAAGAGGAAATGGAGGTTTCAAGTGGTAGGTAATGAAAAAATTAGTGATTATTTTTTTTGTTTGTTTAATTTTTGGTGGTGAGAGAGAGAAAGGAGAGATGTCTTGCCTTGCATTGCAATTTGCAATTACATTGCATAGAACATCATCTACATAAAGTACAGTCACAGCCTGTAAGTAATGAGAATTTAAGAGGGGTATAAGAGAAGCCATAGGAATGTGTAAGGTCCACATGTGAGGATGATGATTGATGAACGATGATGATGATGTTTTAGTGACCAGAAGTAACTGTCAAGTGTATTGCATTTACATGGTTAAAAAAGCACAATCATCAAAAAAGAAAGGATACTGAATGATCAGTAAACCGAAGCACTAAATTGGGAATCCTCTACATATTTATTGAGAAGCAAACTGAAAAATAACCTTTGTACACAATCACATCTCATGCCATTCAAATTATTATATTTGGTTTTTCTATTTCTATATTTATCGATAAATTAATAGAAACTAAGGCTAAACCGAGTTGTGACTATTACAAAGTTTTATTATTTGCATTTTAATTGTCATTTGAATTTTGTAAATATTTTGTCTCATACAAAACGTTAACGCATAGTCGAATATAAATGTATATTACTCTTTATTTCCTCTAAAATCAAATTCCTTAAAATGTTTGCGGTTGTTTTTTGAGAAAATATTATTTGAACATTTTCAATACTATGTGTATAATTTAAGCAAGGTTAAACGACACACAAGCTAAAGTCAGAGATCCAAATCGAAACAAATTCAAAGTATACCAAATTTTAAATTTTTATTGTTTTAATTTTAACTGTAGTTATTTCACCCAACATTGTCAACAAATCCGCCAAACTCACTGTCGCCATCTTCATCTTCGAGCTCATCCGCTGCCGCTACAAATAAGTTATTGTCGTCCTCAACAAATCCGCCAAACTCACTGTCGCGGTCACTCTCCTCCTCTCCCTCCTCTCATTATGGCCCAAACACTTCGAGCCAAATAAATAATAGTCTAACAAACATTCAACCACTAAATAGCATAATAACCACATATCCCAAATCCATAGAGCCCATTACAAAACAGCCCAAACACTGCTCTCTCAAAAACTAATCCCAATCCATCGAGCCCATTACAAATGCTAGTGTCTTTCCATAATGTAGGCAAATAGACGACGAGACTATGAAATCTTTGATTCGTTTTAGCAACTAGGTGAAAATAAAATGAGAAACAAACATATTTTCTAAGACCATCGAACCAATCTGAATCAAACTCAATAAGTTTACGAACAATTCTATTCATCGGTAGATCGATAGGGAGTTTTATTTCACTGGGATACCACGTACAAGTTAAACCTCAATTTCATTAAATCAAACTTCATTTTATATATGTAGAAAATATTATCCGGTGGTCAACGATTGTTATAGAATAATTAAAAATGAACACATCAAATTCATGCAAGAAAATGGCAAAGGGATCTCACTACCCTTAAGCGAACGTTGACAGCTTTTTGGCACATGCAACGATCCTCTTAATGAAATGATCTTTCCATTTTGAGTATTCATTAGTGTCCTATAGTTTTGGTGTCTTATCAAATTCAATGAAAAAAGTCTTATCTCTAAGATTTTTGTATATGACCATTTGTTGTACCATCACCAGGTGACTAAACACTCCATCGAAAATTAGGTACTACTTACTAGGAGCATATTTTCTTGAAAAATAGTTCAGGACTTGGCGCCTCATCTCTTAGAGCATTCCCGTTAATCGGAAGAAATTGCAATGATTAAAGTTAACGTGAATTTTTCATATTGGATTGGCCTGCTTAACCCTAGCTAGCTTTTTCCTTTGTTGCCCGATAACAACCTCTTTAATTAAATCTTGTTTCGTTTTATAGAATATTCATTGATAAAGATGTGAATTATACTATATATGGTCCGTCAAAGTTACACACTTTGGCGGAGAAGTGCAAGATAATGAGAGTTTACTTACCTTGATTTCTTCCTTAAACGTAGAAGTTATAACTACAACACTTTTGTCTACCTTACCGTTTTTTGAAGATTGTCTGGAAAGTAACCAAAACTGCATAACTTATTATGATCAAATAAAAATATGCCCTAATTTCTATTAGAAACCCAAGTCAGTACTATATGCTACTACAAAGTATAATTTACCTCGCATATATCATATCAAACCGTTTTTAACTGAGGATGAAAAGTTGTTGAGCAAAAGAGTTCCGACCTACCGGATTCGAACCAGTGACCTAAGGATTTTCTGCTACAACTACAGTCCTCCGCTCTACCAACTGAGCTAAGGTCGGTTTAATAGTATTAAACTTTCTTAGTATAGATGACTAAAACAAAATAATTTTTCATGAATTATTGAACTATATATGTATATGAAGAGTGCTATAAGAAAGGTTAGCTAGTCACTTGGATGGTAGTTTGATACCATCCAAAATAGTTAACCACTTGAATGCATGGAAAAACATGGTAATAAAAATTTCCTTGAAATCAATCAGAACTTTTATAAAACATTTACTGAAAACGTGAACGGCAGGATTCGAACCTGCGCGGGCAAAGCCCACATGATTTCTAGTCATGCCCGATAACCACTCCGGCACGTAGAAAAGTGATTGAAACATGATCTTAAAAGAGATTAAGCAGGATGATAGTGTCTTTCCATAATGTAGGCAAATAGACGAGTCTATGAAATCTTTGATTCGTTTTAGCAACTAGGTGAAAATGAAATAAGGAACAAACCATCGAAACCTCTCTGAATCAAACTCAATAAGTTTACGAACAATTCTATTCATCGGTAGATCGATAGGGAGTTTTATTTCACTGGGATACCACTTACAAGTTAAACCCCAATTTTACTAAATCAAACTTCATTTTATATATGTAGAAAATATTTTCCTGTGGTCAACGATTGTTATAGAATAATTAAAAATGAACACATCAAATTCATGCAAGAAAATGGCAAAGGGATCTCACTACCCTTAAGCGAACGTTGACAGCTTTTTGGCACATGCAACGATCCTCTTAATGAAATGATCTTTCCATTTTGAGTATTCATTAGTGTCCTATAGTTTTGGT